GAAAAGAAAGCTAAAACTTATGTTAAAAAAAGAGGGGGGGGGGGAAGAACTAAATAAAAAAATAAAGTCAGCTGGGTGTGGGTGGCTCACATCTGTAATCCTAGCTACTCAGGAGCTGAGAGATGAGGATTGCAGTTCAAAGCCAGTCCAGGCAAGAGAGTCCCCGTGAGACTATTATCTCTAATTAACCACCAGAAAACTGGAAGTGGCCTTGTGGCTCAAGTGGTAGATCACTTACTTTGAGCTGAAGACCACAGGAACAGCACTCACACCCAGAGTTCAAACACCACAACTGACAAAATAAATAAATAAAATAAATACATGAATTAACAAACAAAATCCAAAAATGGCTGCATAGTTAATCCATATAAATTTTCAAAGACCTGAATTAAAACCCTATGACTTTGTAATAGTATTTTCATTATAATCTCAGATTTTATATTACCATTCTTGCAATAATTGAAATTTACAGGGCCTCTATGTCTGTTTTATGAAGAGAAGAAGAGTCAAAAAGCAGTTAAAGAAATATATACCAATTACAACAACAGATAGCAAAAAAATAAACATCTTCTCTTCATCTATCAGGACACCATGACAAAATATCATAAACTAAATGACTTACATACAATTAAAATTCACGTCTCATCTTTCTGAAAGCTGGAAATGAGCTGGTTGCTTATTTTGCCAAGTACATCAAGGTGCATGCTGGGCTGGTGCTGGTGAAAGCCCATTTTGTCAAAGATGACACCTCATTTAGACCTCACATGGTGGAAAGACCAGCTAGCTCTCAAAGATCTCTTGTATAAATGTCCTAATCACACTAATGATCCAATCATTTCCTAAAGCTCCACCTTCTAATGTGATCATATTGGGAGTTATGATTTCAAGATACAAATTTGGGGTGGATGTAAACATTCAGATAACAACACATACTCAGAAAAATCTACCACACTTTAAGTCATCAGTGACACAAAACATTCATTAACACCAAACTATATCAGAGAAATTTGTGAGAAATTTCAGAAACATACTCTTGTTCCCTGTTTCAGCAGCCAGGATAGAAATATCTTTTCTTTCACTATTGTCCATTATCCTGATGAGCTGTGACACCCTCTCGAAACTTTACCCAATATTTGACATGATTCTCCTGGCAAAATTGACAATTGTGACTATCATCCACCAATCAGTTCTCTAAAGGTTCATTTGTTGTCCTATGCTAAGGTAATGAATGGTATTCATCAATTATATGTAACACTATATTGAGTGACTTTGTACATTTTTAAAGATATCAATGATCAACAGAGTAGCCTAGCACCATTCATTATATAATCTATTCTGACCTAGAAATTGAGAACTTCTGCCTCCACATTCAGGTTCATGTCCCATGATTTTTTTGTTTTATAAACGCTATTATTATGTGTTTGCATTTTAGCATTTCCTTTAACTTCAAAATATCAGTACATTTTTAGTAGAGATTGAAACTTGTGAACATCAAATTTGCAATGATTGAATTTGCCTGCAACCACAGTATATCTGAAGAAGTCTACTAGTCCACTTTATCCAGCATCTGCTACCAACAGGTGATGGATACTGGGAGCAGTGCCTTGCCAGCAGATTTTTTCTCTTACAAACATCCTGTTTCCAGATGTTTCTTCCCTGCTGTGTGTATTGAATTATAAGTCCCTGGGAGGTGATTGTAATCACTGAGATGACATGCCACACCTGGAATCCACTCTCTTCCCCATCACCTAACTTCTCATAGTTAAATATCAAGTCTAAGTATTGTAAAGGGAAGTGGTTGCTTATTTTGCCAAAATACGAGTACTTCATATCCACATACAGGATTTAGGACCTGAAATATCAGTCTATGTATAATGATGCAATTATTTTATGAGCAGATATCATTATAAATGTTTACAGGACAGCATGCAGATTATCATTTCTCATAAAATGCATAGATTTGTCCAACCTTGGATCATTTATGTATTTGAAATATGTAATTAAAGTGACCGGGCAAGAGTAAAATCTCTGAAGATTCACTTCTGTGTAAAAGAGGAAAGAATATATATGTATATATCCTTTTAATAATAAATATTAGTATGTTACACATGTTTCAAAACATGAATATATGTTTATGAATGTGTTCGTAGTTTACTATAATAAAGTTATACCTACATTTATATATCCAAATGACGAAATTTGTTACAAGTGTTTTCATTAACTCTCATTTTCACCATAAATTCATGCAAATTTTTCTCTATTTTCTTTCCAGAGTATTTTAATGTCTTTATTATTTCTGTTCTGTTTCAGTTAAGCTGAAAGTGTGCTCCATTAAGAATGATTTGTATTGTTTTATTATTTGCCTGAGAAGAGCTCACAAAGAGTTTGATGATCATATGTGTCAAATGCCAATTAAATTATGTCATTTAGAAACATTTACATTGGTATGTCACTTAGGAATAAGTCTTTTCCTCAGTCATATCAACATTTGATCAAATATGTTATATTTGTAATCATATCATCCTTGATTTCTTATGGCTCTGTAAAACATAATCAAAGATAGTACTGAAAGTATGGGTGAGTTAATTAGCAGTCATAGCACATTTTAGTTACTGGCATTAAAAGTGACTATTAAAGCATGTATCTAGTATAAAGAATCAGAATGAACAATTATAATGAATCTAGGGGGAAAACCATGTAGTTTTTATAACTACCAAAGTGACTAGTTACTATATTTTTATTTGACCTGGATTATCAATGTATTATGATTTTGTTAACATGAGCCAAACCTACATAAGACACAAGTAAGCTATGAGTGCTACCCAAGTGAAATTTGAAAGCACTTTCAAAGTTTAGGAAAGGAAAAATACTGAAATTAAACTCAAGCATGATACATGTGTTACAGCAGGTTAAGAGCTAAAACTGAAACCAGGTACTTTTCTGTATTTGTTCCCAAGGTATTGTACTGAGGGGTTACAGTTACATAAATAAGATAGGAAGTGCATTTCTTGTCAAACTTGTTACCCCTTCCCTCTTTATCTCCTACCTTTCCCTCCTCTCCAAACTCTCACCCCCCAAGTTTTAAGATCATTTCCAACATATTGTCTTGTGCATATTACTGTTGCATTGATTGCCCCCTGTCCTTTGTCCCACCATTCTGTTGTTCCTCTTCCCTTCCCTAATTGGCATTTTACATACTTTTCTACATTTTAAAACATGTAATAGCTTATTTAATTCTCACCACAATGAGAAGCAGAGTCTGAGATGGACTAGGAACTTTCCTTGATAACACAGCTAGTCATTAGAGAAGCCACAGACTTAATTTTTTCTTGGAAAATAAAATGGTTTCATTTAATCCTTTAAGTCTGTGGCTTCTCTGAGGACTAGCTGTGTTATCAAGGAAAGTTCCTAGTCCATCTCGTTGTCTCATTTGTTAGGAAATGGAAAGACTTGGAAAAAATTATATTAAGTGAAGTAAGCCAGGCCCAAAGAAACATAGGTCCAATGGTTTCCCTTATTTACAATAACTAGTATACGTCTGAGACAAGCAGAAATGGTCAGATAAGTCGATGTTAAGCGAAATGAACCCCAAGATAAGGACTTAAATGTTTTTTCTTTCTTACTATGGTTTCTAACATACTTATAAGATATTTCTTTGTTGCTTTGAATGTCCCTCCCCCATGGTATAACCCCTGTTTTTACTTTGTGGAGGGGAAAGGAAAAAACAAATTGTTTAAATGGGGATACAGGTGGACCCATTGCAACAATGATATGTACAAGATGTTATGTCGAAAACGAACTTTACTACTTTGGGGAGGGTGGGATGGGAAGGTATGGGAAGGGGAAACAAAGGAGGAAGCAACAATGCTTGATAAGAAATGGACTCATTATCTTGTGCATATAATTATAAACCCTCTGTTTGGTATTTTTACAATTAAAAATCATAATTTAATCCTTCTTTAGAGACTTTCTGTCTACACTTACCAAATTCTATTACATGATCCAATTCTGTGATATAAGTTTCCACAGTTTAATAAATATAAGACAAGAATATAATGGCTTAGCTAAGAGTTTAGTAAACTTACAGTGCATAAGACCATAGCAAAGGTTCTGGCAAGTCTTGAAATATAGACATGTGTGTCATTCTGCATTTTCTAGTTTATTTTTGAGGGTATGAGGGCAGGCCTAAGGCTTGAACTCAGAGTCTGGGCACTGTCCCTGAGCTATTATTATTTTTATTATTATTATTATTTGTACTCAAAGCTAGTGCTTTACCATTTGAGCTGCAGCTCCAGTTCTGCTTTTTTGGTGACTAAATGGAGATGAGAGCCACACTGATGTTCTTGCCTGGCTGCCTTTGAACCATGCAGCCTCTTGAGAAGCTAAGACTACAGGCATGGGCCACCAGCACTGAGCTATGAATCCACTTTTCACAGTCCTTAGATTGTGTTTCTTAGGAGAAAAACAGCAAAATAAAGATCTGACAAAATCTAGACCTACCAGTCATAGATACAAAATTGAAGTTAGAAATGCTTTTGTGAATCTGAAGTCTCACTTGCTAGGCTACACATGTTTTACCTCACCTCCAGTAGCTTTTAAACCAGTAGATAGACAAAATGGTTGGGCTGTTTTCTTCCAGATTTTCCTTGTATGTGACTGTTTCAACAAAATAATCCTTATTAGACTGAAGATACCTGTCTAAGACACAGATAATTTATATTCCAGTTTATTTAGCACAAATCCTTTACAATATATATTTCATTTAATTCTAAAGCTTTACCATTATTAAATATCCCATACACCCTGAACTACATAATATCAAATCATCAGACACTGACCACTAACACAGTTTTTGGTCACGAGGTTCAATAAAATTTATATTTTCTTTTTGGTGAGGACTAGAAGAGATTTCCTAGACATTTTTTTATTGATGAAGCTAGGTATAATTCAAAAAAGTGGGATGAACAATTATTCTGATCTCTGCACATTTGCCATTTCAGTTCCTCCGAAGATTTATGACATCTCAAATGACATGACCATCAATGAAGGAACCAATGTCACTCTTACATGCCTGGCTACCGGAAAGCCAGAACCTTCCATTTCCTGGCGGCATATCTCCCCATCAGGTAATGTGGGAATAAAACACACCAGTATTGTTTGTGCTGTTTGTTATTCTCCTAATACTCCTAATACTTCAGAACTTCAGTCAACTTGTTTAGCTTTTTTGTATCTTTTTCTCAAGGTAGGTAAGGTGCATGTATTTCCACATTCCACTTTATACTTACAGATAATATAGTTCATAAAAGTCAAATGAAATCTGTCAGAGTCCAGAATAAAATCATCTCTTGATACCTAGTCAAGGTTATTTTCAAGTTAGTGTATGGGATAATCACAAATCAATAGACAAAAGACTCAAATGGAAATATCACCAGAGGGGGAAAAAAAGATCTTCATTTAAATGTGTAAGGGATTTATTCAATTGGCATTCACATGTTAATAGGCCAGCATGAACTGCTAAAGTAATCAGGGGAGAAAGAAATTATACAGATTGTGAGGTTGCTGGGTCTAATTTCAAACTGCTGTTCAGAATCAAGGATTTTTGGAGTTAGAATTAAATTTTAACTGATGAGGAAATGTAAAAACCCCAGAGTTTAAGTACTTTGCACACATAGATCACATAGGTAGGGGAAATTAAAGGCTGTAATATGTTTATGGGTTTCAAGTGCTTCTGCTGCTGTGTATATCTTCCCAAAGAAATTAAGCCAATTTTAGAAAGTTGAGGATAATCATCATCAAAACAGACTGTTTTCAACAGCCACCTTCTAACAGTTGTGTACAATTTAAAAGTTCGAATTATATAGCTTTAAGAATTCCCTGGAGGTAAAGATGATAGTTTTAACAAATAAGATACGACTTCTTTGCAGATAAAATTTTCTCTTTTTTATTTTTATTTATTTACTTTTCTTAGTGGAAATGTCTCCAACAGAGCTACAGCAATGAAACTGCTTTTAATGAAATCAGAAAGGAACATTTTATGTAAGTGTAGAAAGAACACAATTGGAACATCTATTTTATCTCTAATGCTTTCTTTAATATCACTTATCCTTAAGTGTCTTTCAGTTTCCTCATTTATGCAGTGACTCTAATGAGACTCACATCACATGCTTAGAATTAGTATTAATGGGACAGAAAAATCAATAAAACAGCAGTGCATACTTATATAATATGCATTATGGCTTTATGATATTTCTAAAGTTTGAGTGTGCTCTTGACTGCCCGCATTTTACTCTCTTGAGCTACTATAATATAAAACTGATATGTGAGCATCAAGTTCATGGCAGGAGTCGAGTGAGAAAAGTTCAGGACTAGTAATTAGATATATCTGTTCTAAGCTGATTTCCTCACTCATCAATGCAGTCTTTGTAAAAGCCTTTACCTTCTGTGACCCATAGCTAGCAGATCCTTAGCAGACCCTTGACTGCTTTTCAAAAATTGAATAATGAAAATCTCCCACTAGTTTATAACTTGACAGACAAAATTATATGTATTTATTTATGTATATTATTTAATAGATATATATCTATTATATATATATTAAAGAACGGAATGATAATATTTGGCTAATTAACAAATGCAACACCTCATATAGTTATTTTTGCGGACAGAGCACTTGCACTTAAAGATTGCGCTGCATTTTTTCTGGAATACAATATATTGTCACTAACTATAACCATCACTAGATATTTTGAATTAATTCCTCATATCTAACTGGAATTAGGTATCATCGACCAGGTACACATCCATACTATTGTAGGACTTATATAAGGTAATATACATAAATGAGCTTTTTAAAATTAATTTGTTGTTATTATAGAGATGATAATCAGGAAGGTATATTTACCTGCATCCTCTAATAAGTACACTTCCTTTTGTACAGTGTCATCTGTTCCCCCATTCTCTCCCATTCCCTCCCTCCCATCTCTACCCACCGGCTGTATAGTTCACTTTCATCAATGTACAATGCAGTCCAGAGCTACACTTTTTTACCCTTTGTCCTTGGATTCTGTGCCTTCCCCCAACCCCTCCACAGATACGCACAGGAATACCTTGTATACAGTGTAAGGTAAAGAACACAATCATCAGAAAAAGAAACAAGCAAACAAAAAAACTCCTTTGTTTCCATATCTTTGAAGATTGCTTCACTATGTACATTATTTTGTATACATATGAGGAGGCCCTTGGGTATTGCACCTTTGGGATTCTTTCCTAAGATTATTCTCTTTTGGTCTCATTGTATGTGAGTATTTAGAATCCTGTGTAATTCATCATATCCCAGTGGTGTTTGTTTTTTTGTTTTTGGGTCCAGTCGTGGGGCCTGAACTCTGGGCCTGGGCGCTGTCCCTCAGCTCTTCAGCTCAAGGCTAGCACTCTACCACTTGAGCCACAGCGCCACTTCCGGCTTTTTTTTCTCTTTTTTTTGCTTATGTGGTGCTGGGGAATCGAACCCAGGGCCTCCTGAATGCAAGGCAAACGCTCTACCACTGAGCCACCTTCCCAGCCCCATCATATCCCAGTGGATTTTAGATCTAACTTCCACATATCAGAGAGAACATGTGCAGATTGTCTCTGATCTTGGTTTACCTCACTTAACATGATTTGTTCTAGTTCCATCCATGTCCCTGAAAATGACATTATTTTGTTTTTTAATGGCTGTGAAAAATTCCATTGTATATAGCTACCACACTTTTTGGGTCCACGCATCTATAAATGTGCTTTTAAAAGTACAAAGTGATGTGTAAATGTAAAGTTAATTCTTAATTTTCTTTCTAGGCATTTGCATCAGATATGGAACTAAAATTATTTTTCTAAGAATGAAGCACATAATCTCAATCTCAATATAATTTAAGATTAATATTTCTGATTTAACTGTCCTACTTAGCGGGGCTTATTACTATGTATGTTCTTTTTTAAAGTGCTCAGATATATTTTAGTTTAATTAAACAGCAGGAATGTTAGTGAAGTTATTAGAATAATGATAATAGATCACATCATAAAGTTGAAAGAAGAGAAATTGGATTTATAAATTAAACTATGAGCATACTTGTTTTTTTAAATCTTGCCATACCAACGAAATAAGTAAAATTAACATAAATTTAATTATTATGTTGTAAATATCTCCACTCAGAATATTTTGTAAATACTTCCAATAATTTTAAAGTATAATTCATTAATGATTTTCATTCAACTGAACATTTTACTATGGAGTTTCTGCATTAAAAAACATGTCTAACAATTTTGTTAACTTGTTAGGGTTTACATATCTATATTTGTAAAGAAATTTGTAGGTTTCACTTATCTGCTTGTATTTTACTGAAGAAATATCAATATTATAGTAATACATGTATGTGCACATATACAGACAGAACATATAGTTGTATTCCTATAAGTTCTTTGAGCTAATTTTAATATTTTGCTATTAGCCAGGGAGCTAAGTAGAATCTTTAGTGTGTGTTTAATCTTGAATTTGCATGAAATTATTAAGTTTATCTTTTTGAAAATTATAAATTGATGTAGGCAATAAAGATAAAAATTTAGGAGTTCCTAACATGCTGACTATAGTTATGAAATGAGTGAGATTATCTAAAGGTAAAGTATATGAAAGCATGATCTGATTTAAGAAAGAACATGAGTGTAATTTGATGATATGTTCAGACATACCCTAAGAGGTTTTGAAATGCTCATTTTCCTACTGAGTAAGTTATGGATCAGAAAACACAAGTAGCTCCACAGACTATCATAATTTAAAAAGTATTATATAGTATATATGGCTTTGGTCATTCTGACTAAAAAAATTCAGAAACATCAGTACTTTTGCATGTACTTCTGTTTTTCTTTGTCCTATTATGAAGGAAAAATGTCTTAGAGCAGGTGACAACATGAGAACAAGGCTTAGGTTAGAAACAGTGAAAGACAGTCTGTGTCCATAATAGAAACAATGGTGGCCACTTCTCATACATGTGTGAATTGTACCAGTAGCTTTAACATTTCTTGGTGATTTGTTCATGGATTATTTTAGTTTTAAAATTCAGTAATAGCCAGGCCCCAGTGGCTCACACTTGTAAATCCTAGCTACTCAGGAGGCTGAGATCTGAGCATCATGGCTCAAATCCACTATGGGCAGGAAAGTCCATGAGACTCTTATCTCCAATTAGCCATCACAAAACTGGAAGTGGTATTGTGGCTCAAGTGGTAGAGTGCTTGCCTTGAGCTGAAAAGCTCAGGGACAGCGCCCAGGCCCAGAATTCAAGCCCCCAAACCGACACACACAAAAAAACAACAGTAATAATTATCTGCTTACAGGAAGATAGCTCAACATAACCTCTACATAATTTATAGAAAAGAAAGATTAAACCAGATCACATCACATAGTTGCTATTCTACTTGTTCATTCAGACTGGTGAGTGCACTTTTGCTGAGAAGTTTCTGGATACAGGAGCTTTCTGAAGGTTCATATCAATGATTTGTATATTTGTATTTTTATGCGGATGTCTTTGTATTTGGGAATCAGCTTTAAATTTACAGTTTAGAAGCTTGTAAAATGTACTACTCAATTTTATCCATCATTATTTTTGTCAATTTTGCTAATCACTTGCTCTATAAATTAAGTATATACCATATATAAAGAAGCTACTTGGCTTGTGAAAAGTTTTGTTAAATAAATCCAGTGTAACTTGAAAATATTACAAGTCCAAATGGACTCAGTACACCAAACTCACTGGGAGAACAACATAGCTGAGCACCGTAGCATACTATAGAGTGTAGGTTATTTATCTGTGTAGCTGTCTACTACCACTGCCCAACTTTGTGCATGAAATTAACAAATGTTATCAAAGCAGGAAAAAAAACAGAATTTGAAGTGTGCTTTCCATTAAAGACATTGCCATTTCTTTGCATCATCACATAGCTATAAAATCCTAAATTGACCATCTGTAATTTGTAGGACTGTTCATGTCCTTACTGAATGATTTGAGAGCAATTCTAAAAGGGATACATCTTGAACTTCATTATTTCTAAATATTTTAGTGTATATTTTGGAAGAATATGAGTATTCTCTTTACATAACCTT